TGGGGTGTCGTGGTCATGGCGTCTCCCACCCCTGCCCCATTAGTTTAAAGCTGTTTCGGAGCAGTTCGGTTTCTCCCTGAGATGAAGCTTTGCCCTGTGCAACCTAGCAAGACGGCTGCATCTTAGAGACAATTGCAAGATTCGAGTGTGACTCCTGATGGCTTTGGAAGCTTGGTGACTGTCCAGCTGAACACTTGCAGCTGCTGGGTGTGGTGCCCACCTATCCCTGGTGGCTGCAAAATGCACTCTGTGGACTTTACTGATTTTTCTTTCTAATTTTCCCAAACTGGTGGCTTGGGGTTTGGAATCGGTCCAAGAGAAGGGAGTGAGTCTTCCTGCCTGGCCCTCACTCCAGCTTTGGGGAACAAAGAGCAATGTGAAGATGCTACCGAGGATTTCCTCTTCCTGTCCTGTTCCCCAGGGAGCTCTGGGGTTAGGGGTTACATTAGGGAAAGCAGAGGTTATCTTACATAGGATTAGGTTCTAGGTGGCTGCCAACTTCTGCACAAGCACTACTGAAAAATCACATAAAGAGAAAGCTGTGAAACTGAGGTCTCGATCGGAGAGGCCTGGAGCAGAGCCTTTCAGCCAACGTACTCACAGAGGAGGGGAAGAGGACCTGACCCACCGGGACTGGAGAGCCTCTTCTCGGTCCCTCAGCCAGGTTCCTAGAGAGCAGATCCTGGGCCCTCGTGATCTGTCTGTCGAGGAGCTGTGGAGCTCTGCAAGGCTTGCTGAGCACAGGCCTAGCTGCAGCCTTTCTGGCCGGCCTGTCTTCAGATTCCGCTGCCACGGTGACCTACCTGTGCAGGGAGCCCCCGGGGCAGCTGGCCCCTGGTGTGGTGGAAGAGGAGCTTCACGCGTCCAGTCTGAGGAGGAAGGGGTGCATGTCTGTAGCCTGCCCAGCTGCTGAAGCCGGCCTGGAGCTGTTCACGGAGCTGCAGTCACAGGATTCCAGCTCTCGACTGTTTCCTTCTCTTTGTACTTAAAAAAAAAGTTTGGTTTTTGTTTTTTTTTTAAATGTTTGAGGAGGTGCATATTTCAGGAGTGGTCGGTGGCTAAGGAAGGAACTCCCTAGTTCCATTGTGAAGCCTGTGTGTTCTCTTCCCTGCTCTGGCCGTCAGTACTGTGTAAAGGAACAACCGATAGACTTTAGTGTTCGAGCAATGAACCATCTGACACGCTGCTATGAAGACACTTTTAAAACACACACACACGCACACACACAATAGAAAAGAAAAAAAAAAAGAAAAATGTGAAAAAAAAATCTACAAAAAACCCCTTTTATTCTTCGTTGCTTTTACAGTGGTACTGTGCATGCAAACCGGGAGCATTTTGTGTCTTAAGAAAAATAACCTTAGAACAGATGGCTGTGGGGATCACGCCGTGCCGAGAACAAGCCACTGAAGCATAGTTCAGGACTGGGTTTTTCTCTTTTCCTTACAACCCTGCAGGGTCGGTATATTCTTTCCATGCAGTCGTTAGCATTTAGTTTTGTTCCAGCAGTGTTAAACTTGCAATGAAAAGAAAACGTGCCATCCCCTGCCCCAGAATTATCCATAGCTGTACATCGAATACTGCTAATTACACACATGTGATGTATGTTTTTTTTTTTAGTGAAATTTCTTCTGTAGCTATTCTTTGACCAAACTGTGGATACTGTTAATTTATATTTGTCTCATTCCGTATGTATGTATGTGTAGCGTGTTTGTGAGTATGTGTGGTTTATAATCTGACGAGAGTCATGAAACTCAGTTTGGCTGTAATTTAATTCCCCTTCCCTTATTTTTATTTATTTTTGTACTGTGCTGATTCAATAAAATGCACTGACCATCCATTACATCAACCTCTTTGTGACCCGCCGTTTGGGAGCATGTTAGGGGTGCCTTTAATGCATGATTTGTGTATGTATAGGTTTGTACAGGTGGAGGGGGGCAGTGAGGGAAAGGGTGGGGCAGGCTTCCATGGTTAAGAAAGCAGCACCAGGGCGAGCCAGCTTTGGCTTAGTGGCTGGGCAGGTTCTCCTCAGGGGCTTCCTTTGTGGGGTCACAGGACAGGCAGCTCAAGCCCCAGAGGGCCAGTCAGGTTTAGGCATAGCATGGTCAGTGTTAGCCACCTCAGTCCCACTTGGGCATCTGGCCTTAGGCTGCATGTTGAGTCTTGGCACCAAGGCTGCCGCTCTTCCCTTCCCTGGGCCTGCCTGCTCAGTGTCCACTGCCCAGATGCCAGCAGGGGTGGGCAGGTGTCCTGGCGATCCAACAGTTGAGCTCCTGAGGAATCTAGCCCTGGGTCTCCCGGGTATGCCGCTACCTCAGCTTCTGTGTCCAGCCGGGAAGAGAGCAGCAGGGGCTGGGAGCCCGCAGCCCCTATGGTCAGTGACTGCAAGGCCCTGCAGTGCTGAGCTCTTGGGTGCTCGGGTGCCCCGGGGCCTCCACCTGACCTGTGGCCTGCTCCTGGGAGCTGCCTTGGAAGAGGCCATGCTGCCCAACAGCTGCTGTGGGAATCCGTACCGTCTTTTGTGTGGACATTTATCTATTTCAGAAACATGTTCCCTTAGGATTCTAAAATGCAGCTTCAGAATGGCGGGAGAGTGTGCCCGGACTGAACTCCAAGGCTGCCTCCTGCCTCCTCTCTCACACAGCGTGTTTCTCACTCCCTAACTTTGCTGTTCAAAAGCCTCAGGCAAACTATCCCCATTTTACATAATCTGTGCTTAATTCTACTTTCTGAGATGGCAGTTGACTAAGCTAAATTTTTGCCGTTTTTCAATGATAAACAGAATGCCTTTAAAAATAAGATTTAATGCTTTATTGCTCTTGATGGTAAATCAAAATATGCTTTAGAAATAAAGTTAATTTAATGGAAAATAGGAATATATGCACCAACCATAGAATCGAGAGCCCCCACTCCAATGCATACAATCACTGTATCCTGTCCCTTTCCGGAACCATGCTCATTCACACCCCAAGTTCCAGGCCCTTCAGTGGCCACACACTGACTTTAAGTCCTAGGAAAGTGCTTGTGGACAGGGCAGTTCCTCAGTGGAAGGGTCTGGCCTGGGTCAGGGGGTCCCAGGCTGCATCAGAAGGCGAGAGGGGAGCCCCCACCCGCAGCCCCCACCCGCAGCCTCCGACCGCAACTCTTTTGGCATGACCTGCTTTGGTGTGCATGAACACACGCGAGCATATCTAGTGTAAAGCAACGCGCAGGGGCAGCAAGTGGGAAGGAGAGGTGACGTTCCAGCCGGATGGTTCTGTCGGCGTCGGTCGGCAATTGGCAGCCTGGCTGGCGGCACCCCCGCGCTGCACAGGCAGCTGACCACGCTGGGAGGACGAGAAGGTTCCCGAGGACGGCTCCGGGAATCCGTTGCCAACTGCCCGCAGTGTGAAAGGCCCACAGCTCAGCAAAAGGGGTTAGGAGACCGGGTGGCTGGAACCACCTTGGTCGGCCAGGTGACTCCCTCGGGCCCTGGGCAAGGCACAGGAGGTGGCACACAGGCACTTGGTGGGTTAGGGTGGCAAGGTGAGGATTCGCGGGCAGAGTCTGGCGGAAAGTGAAGAAAATGTGGGCCTGGCTCTGTAAGCTGCCACTCCTGCTGGCTGTCTGCCCCCAGCCTTCAGGTTACGCTCTCCTAGCAAGCCTGCATTGCCCACAGCCTCCTCATCCTCGGCAGCCGAGGCAGGGAGCAGGGCTCTCAGGAAGGCCTCTGCAACAGGCATGCTCTTTGCTGGGCAGACACTGGCAAACTGACAGCCCTGATTTCCAGTGGGGCCCAGGGGCCAGGCTCCAGCAGGCAGGTATGTGGCATAGGTGGGCACCCTGGCCTGGCCCGCAGCGCCAGGACTCCACGCTCTTTGCTGCCGCTGTCTTCCGCCTCCCACAGCTGTGGGAGGCTGGGTCCCGTGTGCTCTGGCTCCCCACGAGTCCCGGTGAGGAGGAGGCACAGCTAGAGGGTTAGGGAAGGGCCGAGCTGAGCCCTGCCCTCTCTTTGAACCTCCTTGCTAGGTCCCGACAGTGCGGTTGTAGCAGAGGGGACATCTGATTAGCAGCCTGGCGATCTGCAAAAAGAAGGTTAAGATAACTGGTCCTTGAGTAGCAGCAGGTGTCTCTATGGGAGAAGTGGTCAGAAAGTCTAGACCTGGAACCTTGGTGGCAAAAGTTCTCCCAGGGGCAGCTCTGAAAGGAGAGACCCCTGGCTGAACATGGCTGAAGGATGGGCTTCACAGGCAAACCTGTTCACCTGCTGCCTTTGGCTGCTGGCTGCTAGGGGTACGGCTTGTGCCCAGGGGCTCTGAGCTAGGTCCCAAGGGCTGCGATCATGTGGGGGAAGGAAGGCATGAGGTGGAGGTCACAGAGCAGGGCTAGTCCTCTGCTCACGGACACTGGATCCAAAGCTCTAGGAGAACGTGTGTTTGGCTGGAGAAACTGTTCTGTGCTCTGGGCCACCCATCCCTCTGCTGGGTCAGCAGTGGCCACTGGCCCTTTGCCAGCTACAGGTACTATCCGGTTGCCTGTGAGGTGAGAAGTGGTCTAGCTGTCAGCCCAGGAGGCTGCAGAGGGACTTTGGTTTCCGAGCAGGGACTATGGAAATTTGCGAGAACAGAGGCAGGGGCAGAGAGCCAGGCAGGACACCTCATGGGCAGGGCTTCAGGGAAGGCAGAGGAGCCCTGCCCAGTGGAGGCCCTTGCAAGCTGATTTCTAGTGGTAGTAGAGGGCATACAGCAATGAGCTGGGCTCCTGGGATGCTGAGCAAGGGGAACGTGTGTGAGATGGAGAGGCTAAGGGCCTGGCCGGCCTGATGCCAGGCCTGGTGCCAGGCCTCCGGTGTGCAGCAGTCAGTTCCCCGGGACACTGAGGATGAAGCCCGAGCGGTTCTTGGTGAAGTCAGGCTGTGGCTGATTAAGCCGTGTCTCCACAGAGACGGTGCATTTCTTCCCATGCAGGCTGCACTGCACCGGGTTGGTGACGTTCACTTGAAGGTGGCGCTTCTCACTGCAAGGGAAAAGATAGGCCAGGCAGTCAGTGAGTGGGCAGACACAGAATCGTGTGGTTTCCTTGGCAACTCCCAGGGCCCTGCCATTTTCCAGGCTCCTGTGGGGTGGCAGTTTCAGGGTTCAACCTGCTTTCTTCCCAGGTGCCCACAGAGGCTTGGAGGGGGCCCAGAGGAGGTGGGGGGAGATAGTGGCACCGAGGTGTGTGTTACGGCCGGCAGGTGCTGGCCAGGCAGGACTGCTCATCCAGGGAACCCTGTGTGCTACTGGACCAGGGAGGCGGCGGATGTGACTGTGCCATCGCTACCAGGCCTGGGCTGCGTCACCTGGGCTTTAGGTGTTGCAGGAAAAGGGTGTCAGGGCTCTGACTCAGGACGGTTATCTCTGTTTGCCAACAGGGAGACTGGGACTCCCCCCTAGCCCTTCAAGGACTGTCTGCCTTGAATCCAGCTGGCGACTTGTCATGGAGTCTGGCTGTCAAAAGCGGGTCTGAGGCTGAGCCCTGGGGTACAGTAGATCTGTGATCCCAGTTACTTGGATGGTTGAGTCAGGAATACAGTAAGTTCAAGGCCAACCTGGGCTACAGAGTGAATTTACAGCTAGCCTGGGCAACTTTCTGACACCCGGTGTCGAAATAAGACCTTGGAAATAGTCCTGGAGATAGAGCTAGATCGGTGGCAGAGCATCTGCCTAGCATGTGTGAGGATCTGGGTTTAATCTCCGGCGCTACCCCAGCCAACCAAATCAAAGCAGGGCTGAGTTGACTCTACCCGTGAAGGCTGTTCCCACTTTGGAGCTGGGGGAACCAGGCTTTGCCACAGAGCCCAGAGAGCCCTGCAGACGGTCCCCACTGCCCAGCTGCTTCAGAACAGGCAGGTGCATGGTATCTTACTTCCTATCCACCAGGAGGCCTGAGCAGGGTCAGCCTGGGAGCCACAGCCAGGGCTTCCTCACTGAGTGGAGGCCCCTTTGGGGGTGACCTGCTGTGCTCTCCACGCTGTGGAAGTGGAAGCCCTCGCCTCCAGCAAACGCATACTGTGCTGAATGTACTTGAGCTGCCGCTTATTTTAAAAGCTGGGAAACTTGTGAGTAGGCTGGCATCCGGCGGGTGTACACACATGCCAGCAATCCCACACTGCACCTCGGCTTGTGCTGCATCACTTTTCTTTCAGTGGGGAGGGGAGAGAGGAAGGCTTGCTGCCTTAGGAGCTCCCAGTTAGGATGGACAGCCACACTTGGTTTCTCTGCCTCCCTAGGGATTCCGTCGCTGTTGCTGAGGAGGCTGGTGAACAGGCTGGATCGTCTGAACACAGCTGGTCCTCCGGTTAAGGTCCTCCCAGCACTGAATGACGAATACCGAGTGGCCATGTCCACCTTGCAGCAGGAAGCCTGGGCTGAGACCGGCCTGCACAAGCTTTCCCTGTACTTGCCAGGCCCACTGGATGGCCCAGAAGACCCAGTTGCTCAGATGCTCATCAGGCTGCATGACATGCGACTGCTCCAAGGGATCAATGTGCTAGGCATAGGTGCTTCCTGCAGCACTGACCCCAGGGCAGCGTGTCCAGGGACACTTGGTGGCACCTCCTACAGAAGGCCCCAGAGTTGGAGAAGCTAAGGTACTGTTTCCTGCCTGCCTCATTAGTCACGATGTGGAGGCAGTAAATGGGACCAGGAGAGACATATGGGCATTAAGTACCAAATACTTAATATCTTGTCAGCCACAGCTAGAACCTGAGCTTAGACAGATATTTTTAACCAGAGTTGGACATAAAAATAGCGGATCCCGTCAGAGGCAGAGACTCAGGTTCTTTTCCATTCCCTGGGGAGTCAGGGCCTCTGCAGGTTAGCTATGTGGCTCTTGGCTGCCCCAGGTGTGTGGGGGTCCCCTGCGGCCTCACACTGGCCCACAGCAGGCAAAGTGCCAGCTCTGAGGGTGCCTCTGAACAAGATGGCTCCCGAGCTCTGTCAGCCACCCCACTTCTCCTGTCAACCCAGGGCTTTTGGGTCCTGCTCTACTAAGTCCTTTGGGGGCCACCATCCTGCCCTCCTCTTCCTGGTGGGGCTAGTAAAGCAGTGTGCACACTGGGTTCTCTCAGATTCTCTGGGAATGGGCTCTAGAGGGGTCATATTCTGTGTCAGCTTGAGAAACTCACATGCGGAGAGTCCCCAGCATGTTGGCCATGCTCCTGCTGCTGCAGTGGCCCTCCTGATATGACCTTTCCTCAGCCTGGTCCCTTGGCCAGGGTGTCATCAGCAGGGTGGCCACGGTCTCCCTCCTTCCTCTTCTTTTGGGTGTTTGGGGACGGCTCTAGTTTTGGTGGGGACATCGAGAGGTGGGGAGAGCATTCCAGGAGCGTTAGGACGCATCTTGAGAGCAGAGGTTAAGAGGCCACAGACTCCCCTCCCTTCCTCCCTTCCCCATTTTTTGTCCCAGTCAACCAGTCAGTCCACAGGCAGTGGAGAGTAAAACTGGCTGAGACAGGACACAGACAGAGGGGAGGAGGGGGACCGTCCTCTTTCTCAGGGACTTCCCAGCAGAGAGCTGAGCAGAACCATGCCTGGGAGGCCCAAGCATGGGCCACTGAGGTGGCCTCCCTCCCTTCCAGGTGCTGCTGGAGGAAGGTCGTCTGTGAGGAGGAAGGCAGGAGCCAGGGAACTGGATTCTTCTGCATTATGATGCAAACAGCTCTGGGCCCCTTTCTCTGGCATGCTACCATCTCTGTGCCAGCCTGGGGTGGCTCCCTACCTCCCAAGGAGGAGCTCTCCCCCGACCCTGGAAAGTGGCTGGTCATTCTCTCCCTCCACGGCCAGAGCTGACCCCCAGCCTGCCCCAGGGAGCTTGCTGGAGTGGCCATGTCCTGATCCTCTGGTGACATGGGACGTAGTCAGAGAAGGGCCCACGTACAGATGTGAGAGGCTTTTCCTCATTGCCACCCCTACCCCCAACCACACAGATCCTGTGTCAAACATCGAACTCCCAGTTCCCAGCACCACCCTCCATGGAGTGAGAATCAATTAGGACGTATCAGGAAAGAACGCACGCCATGCCTCCACATCCCTCCCTCGTCTCTTCTTCCCCCCTTTTTTCTTTTGAGACGAAATCTCTCTATACATAGGTCAGGCTGGCCTTGAACTCATAATCAATCCTCCTGCCTCAGCGTCCTGATGCGGGGGTTACAGACATGAGCCACTGTACCCAACCCTCCATCCTAGATTTCTGGGTAGTGTGTTCTGAGCCCATGAGATCGCTTTTGATCCATTTGGGATCTTTAAATACGAGGCTGGGGCTACAGGCCTGGGCTCTTGGGCTTGCCGGAGCCCCTGTGAGTCTCTTTACAGCCATCAGGTGCTGTGAGAGTCTCTTCTTCACCCATGCTGTGCTGGGGACAGGTGAAGAGTTATTTCATCATCATCATCATCATCATCATCATCATCATCACCACCACCATCATCACCATCATCATCATCATCATCACCATCATCACCACCACCATCATCATCACCATCATCACCATCATCCCACCATCTGCTCTCCAGCTTTTACCCAGTGTTTACCTCAAGGTGCTGAGCCCTAGGAATACGGAAAATTAGTGTATGTTTAGAGACAGGGTCTTTTCCTGGGCCCTGGGAGGCTGCTGCAGGCTGGGGACCAATGCACAGAGGCCATTTAGAAAGTGTGAGCTCCGTCTTTGGGAGCTGCGCCCCTTCCCTCAAGTGCTGAGGACCTCCAGGGGAGCTGGGTCGGGAGGGCCACTGTTAAGGCTTGGCTTATGCTCTCTGCACATGTTCATGTAGCTCAGAAACCACAGGCTGCTTCTGTTTTCAACAGCCCCTGCCTGGCGCTGTATATCCTGTGCATTCTCAGCTTGTGTTTCAACCTGACAGGTGTGGGGGCCCTTCTGCCATATGCATGGCTTGACTCTCCATGTTTGGAATACAGGTGCCTGAGGGGGAGGGGTCTCAGAGGGGCTGGAACACTGTGCCTGGAGGCCCAGGAGGGCTCCTTTACTGATGGACAATTCTAGCCAGGTCATTGGTTCTGGGCCTCAGTGCACTGCAGACAGCCCACCCCCACACTTTGTTCATAGTTACTCCAGCCTCACAGTGGGGTGCGGGGAGGGGGCAGTGTGCTCAACTGGTCATGGTCCTCCTAGGCCCCAAACACCCACTCAAGAACCTCATTCCACACGCAAGATGGCCAGATGGCCTGTGGAATGGGAGAGTCCCAAGAGACAGGCAGCTCCTCAGAAAAGAAGTACTCGGTGTAGTCACTGTGATAAACGGGATGTCCCCAGGCTCCTGCTCTTTTCCTTGGCATGGCCCTGAATGACCTGGTGCCCAGCCGTCTTTGTGAGGCCGCTGTAGAGTTTGGAAGAGGAGGGAGTTGAGGTCATAACAGAAGGATGGGGCAGAGAGAAACAGCCCTGGGGGGTTCCGCTGCCACCCACACAGTGTATGTGCAAAGCAAAGTCCGGCTCCAGCCTCACAGTGCCTCAGTGTACCAAACAACCATCACATGGGCTAGCAGTTCCCTCCCAGGTATGTGCCAAAGAGAAACGAGAATGGGTGTTCAGACAACACCTTTGCATCAATTATCACCGCAGAAACGAAGTGTGGTATAGCCATTCACTAGGACATCATTGTTCAGTGGGATATTATTCAGCAATAAAAGGAGTAAAGTATCAATACAGTAGTGAACTTTGAGAGAAGCCAGCGACAACAGGCCACACACTGGAAGACCCCATTATAGGAAATACCCCGCTAGACACATCAACAGAGACAGGGCAGCTTAGCTATTGCAAGGGGCATCAGGGAGGGCAGGGGTGGCGGGGCTGCTTAGGAGGTTTCCTTTTGGGGTAGGAGAAGTATTCTATAAGTGGACAGAGGTAAAGGCTGTAAAACACGGTGTCCACAGTAGATATGCTGTTCAATGTGGGAGCTTTTCTACAACAGGGTTTAGAGGCCAGAAAGGAGAAAAGGTGGTTTTAAGGTAATAATTAATTAATTAATTAATTAATTAATTTACAGGGTTTCTCTGTGTAGCCCTGGCTGTCCTGGAACTCACTCTTATAGCCCAGGCTGGCCTTGAACTCACAGAGATCCATCTGCCTCTGTCACCTGAGTGCTGGGATTAAAGGCGTGCGCCACCACTGCCTGGCTTTAGAGGAAGTTCTTATTAAGTTCAACCAGATGGCTGAAGTACAGGAAGACTGACCACGGTGGCGCACACCTTTAATCACAGCATTCAGGAGGCCGAGGCAGGAGGACTGTTGTAAGTTTGAGCTAGTTTGGCTTACAGAGTGAGACTGTCTCAAAATAACCAAAGCAGCAAGAGGCTTCGTGGAGCCCTGGAGCCGGCGTGCAGGAGAGCGTGCTGCCCACGGGAGCAGTGCCGTGGCTCTGGCCTGAGCCCCGCACACACCGGGGGCTTTACAGAATCAGAGTTCTTTCCTCATTTGAACAGAGAATGGACAGGAAGACAGGGTATCTCCCTCTGATGGTGTGCCAAGCCAAATGACAGCTGCTGAGGGAGGCTGGCTGTGGGGGAGGGGCCTTTCCACCCCAGCTTCTGTTACAGGATTTAGTGCCTCAGCAAACTGTGGTATTTGGGGACTTTGATGTCATGTCATCTGTTCTCAGCCATCACTGCAGGCAAATGGCCCCGATCAAGTGACTTTCTTTCCTTTTTCACTTAGACTCCTGTCTTAGACTCAGGAGAGCAGCTGGGGGAAGAATGGATCAGCGTGACAAGCCAACACGGTCCCAGAGCTAGCTGTGCACCCACAGGCCCTGCACAAAGAGGACAACCACGTGTGTCCAGGAGCTGAATCAGCCAGAAGAATGTCCCTCCTTGTCCAGGCCCCTGGCCAGACTGGAGCCAACCCAAGAAAGTGGCCCAGGAGATCGCAGGCAGTCCGGTAGGGTGCCTGTCCTTGGACTTTGGGAGGGACAGGAGTGCCCCCATGAAGCTAGGGCTGTACAGGACATGACCAGAGAGAGATGGTCCCAAAGAGATGAAAATTCTCACATGCTGTGCACCTCACCCCAGCGCCATGCCTCACTGGATGTCACTAGGGCGTTAAGTACCCACTCTAGCTCACACTGAGGACTGCATGTCTGTAGCTCTCTCCTGTGTGCTTTGTTTCAGGAAGCAGGTTTCCCTGCTGATGGAGCCTCAGCAGGTAGCTCTTTCCAAACCCTGCTGGGGAAACACTACTTCTGTTTTGGTCAGGGTTGCACCACAGCTGCTTCTAAAGTGAGCCCAGGAGGCTGGTTCCTGTGGAGGCTGGAGACGGGGTGCTGCACTTCCTGTCTCTGGGGTCCTTCTCTGTGTGCAGCTGTAAGGGACAAGGCAAAACCACACAGCAGTCATGAAACAGCTGGGCACACTGGGGTTGCACCCATGCCCAGGGTCTGCCTCTGCCCTAGCCTGAGCTGCTCTGGTGTCTAGACCTAGGCAGGGGAACCCACCCCAGCCTCATCATGTCCTTCCTTCTTCTTAGGTGCTTCTAGGTCCCATCTCTTCCCTGTCTACATGACTCTTCACTGAGTATTCAGGGTATGCTGTGCACTGTCCAGAGCAGTGATTCTCAACCTTCCTAAAGTTTTGGCCCTTTAATACAGTTCCTTATGCTGTGGTGACCCCCAACGTAAAATGATTTTCATTGCTACTTCATAACTGTCATTTTGCTACTGTTAGGAATCATAATGTAAATATTCTGGGAGACAGAGGCTTGTCAAAGGGGTTGCAGCCCACAGGTTGAGAATCACTGGTCCAGAGAGTGCACATCAATGGACCTAGAGAGCCAACTCCTGCACCTGACTAGAGATGTTAAATTAACATCCTGTGCTGGGGCCCGGGCCACACAGAAGAGGCACCTGGTCACGGTGGTTGAGGAGAATTTCCCCAAGGAGGTGGCATCTGGGCCGAGTCTCAAGGTTAAACAGGGCTCTTGCAGGTGTCTCCCTGGCTTTATTTTCTCATTCTCGGTTACTGCTGCACGTTCATTAGACTTTATGTTACCACACAGTGGGAACACCCACCCAGGTGGTTCTAATGACTGATAATGACCTAATCATTGTCCACATTCAAGCATGAGGTTCCAGCACATTCTTAGCCACTTCTGAGAGACCCCTCAACACTCCACAGGCAACTGAGTCTTCCCATGAAAGCAAACTGAGCACACTCTGTGGGCCTCATCCCTTGTCAAGCCTGTCAAGAGCCCAGCCTAGACATCCTCCTCACAGAGGCCAGCAGCAGGGAGTTGCCAGCTCAGCTTTCTTTGCCTCTACTCCCCACGCAGACCAGAGCCAGTTCTCCAGACTGCGCTTTCTCAGCCTCCTCTGGTGACCCTTGTTGCCGAACTGGTTTCTCTCTTCTCTGTCCCTAACCCTGCTTGCTTCACATACATTCCACACATCCTCTGTGCTGTGAGCAGTCTGGAACAGGCACCCAGGGGGCCTGCCCCTCCCTGCCGTCATGCCATTCACTCTCCATTCCCTCACTCCTCCCAGCTCTCTCTCCAGCAGGGCCACAGGCCTGGGGTGTGGGCTCTGCTGTGCTCATCCCAGTAAAGGACAGGCCTGGAAAGCCCAGCTCCTGCTGCATGCATCTCAGTGTTGGAGGGATCTACAGAGAGCCCGGGAGCCACAGTGGATGGTAAAGGAATAAAAAGCCAGTTCAGGGGTTGGGGATTTAGCGGTAGAGCACTTGCCTAACTCTGAAAAAAAAAAAAAAAAAAAAAAGACAGCTTCGAGGTGGCAGGGGAAGGGAGGAGGCTGGGCTGGGGCCCCCAAATGGCTGGCTGGAGCAGAGTCATGGCCAGTACCACAAATGAGAAGCAAGGAACACAGCCTGTGTCTGGAACCCTCCATAGGCTGCCCAGTCTGTGCAAAGAACACAGAAGCGACTTGTCTTCCAGAGTGGAGAGAAGACCAGGTAGGGGACAGGAAGAGACGGGGCTCCAGCCCTCTGTGTCTCTGAGGAGTAAACCCCCTGTGGACCACCAGAGGCAAGAAGACAAGAATGCTGCTTGCAGAGGACGCATGGTCTCCTCACACAGGCTCAGCTGCTGTGTGATCACGGAGGACCCAGCAAGTGATAGGGTCTAGAGGGTCCAGGGTAGCAGGGCTGGGGACGGAAAAACTCAGACCATACAGCTCTCCTCAGAACTATAGTGAACGTGCCTCACTGGTGACTTAGGACAGTGTGAGAACTGGGAAGTAGAACCCACAGGCTCTGGGTTTGGTCCCCAGCACTGAAACAAGACAACGTGGAGCTAAAATCCTGGATGCCAGCAGCATGGCAGACAGCGGGGTGTCCCAGTGAACACTCCATCCAACTCCTTTTATTTGGGGTGATGGGGAGGAGGAGGGTAGACGCTGGGCTTTCTTCACAGGAACACAGGTGAGAAAAAGATCAAATGAAATATGGACAGAGGCTGAAATGGTAACTCTCCAAGAAGGAGAAAGATGAAAACCTGGCCTCCCCAGGGGAAGGTGCAGGGAACAAAAGAACCTAAGAAACATGAGAAGAACAAAGTCTCACCAACAGGACCACCCAAACGTGAGCAGAACATGGATGGCACCATGTCAACTGCATGGGGAAAGCCTATGAGGCCTCAACCCTATGAGGCAGCTGAGGAAAGCTGGGCATGGGAAAGATGGCCTCCAGGGAAGAGCACAGCAACTGTGTGTCCAGTACCTAATGGTCAGCCCTGGACACATAGCAGTATACAGGCTCAACAGGTGTGCTTTATATATATATCTCAACAGTGAAAAAAGAGGCCTTGAATTTGAAGGAACATGGAGGGGTATACCAGAGGTTTGGAGGGAGGAAAGGGAAGGAAGAAATGGTCTAATTATAATCTCAAAAAACCATTGTGGTGGTTTGAAAGAAAATGGTCCCCAAAGGGAGTGGGTGTGGCCTTGTTGGAGGAAGTTTGTCACTGGGGAGGTAGGTCTCATGTTCAAGCCACACTCAGTGTCACAGTTCACTTCCTGTTGCCTTTGGATCAAGATGTAAGCACTCTCAGTTCCAGCACCATGTCTGCCTGCATGCTGCCATGCTTCTCGCCATGATAATAATGGACTAAACCTCTGAAGCTGTAAGCCAGCCCCAATTAAATGCTTTCCTTTATAAGAGTTGTCATGGTCATGGTATCTCTTCACAGCAATAGAAACCCTAAGACACACATGTATAATATGTATATTAATTTAAGTAATAATTATATGTATTTAAACATATATATATGTTTAAAACTGGGCCAACAAGGTGGTTGCTGCCAAGCTTGACAACCTGAGTTCAGTTCCCAGAATCTACATGGTGGAAGGAGAGAACTGACCTCTTTAACATGCTCATGCATGTGTAAACATACAAATAAATGGAAACTTTAAAAAAAGAATGCACAACCATATAGAATATGCATAATCTTGAATATACAAATGTAATAAACTGTACAAAATGGATAAACTGTTTAAATAGATAAACTGTTTAAAGATATTTCTCAGGTTGACCTAAAATATTTAACTCTAAGCTACTTAAAGAGATATATAAATTACAGCTGGGTGGTGGTGGCACATGCCTTTAATCTCAGCACTCAGGAGGCAGAGACAGTCAGATCTCTGTGAGTTCAAGGCCAGCCTGGTCTATAGAGCTAGTTCCAGGACAGGCTCCAAAGCTACAGAGAAACCCTGTCTCAGAGAAAAAAAAAAAAGACGTATATAAATCACAATGATTGGACTGCAGAGATGGCTCAATGGGTAAGAGCACTGGCTGTCCTTCTTAAGACCCAGGTGTGGTTCCCAACACCCATAGGATGGCTCATAACCATCTGTAAAACCAGATCCAGGGGATCCAGTGCTTTCTTCCGATCTGACCTCTGTAGGCACCAGACAAGTGCATACAATACAGGCAAAACACTCACACACATAATAAATGAAGTCAACCATTTAAAAATGCAGTAAAATCAAAGTAATGTTGTCATGGGTTGTACCAAATTAACACCAACGTCTTGACCCTAAACATGTGTTTAGAGATAAGGCTTGTTCTACCACTAGGCTGCACCCCCAGCCAAAAGTGGGCTCTTGATCTGAGAGACACAGCTTGCTCTCTGCCTCCCTTCATGTCAGGACACGAGGAGGCAGCCCTCACCGGACCCTAACTGTGTGCTCTGAGCTGGACATGGAGGGAGCTGTGAGAACACGCTTCTGTTTGTCAGCCAGCCCATCAGACTAAGGGCAGCAGAGAATACAGGAGTGTTATAAACATCATTTCTTGACAGTCTCACGACAGGAGGCAGGTTCCGTTTTCCGAGACAAGGCCCAAGGAGATTTAGAACCTGCCTGGAGTCACAGAGCAGAGGTAGGACTCAAACCTAGTTACACAGGCTGGAGTCTTTATCTCAGAATATCATCATTGTCTGTGCTCCTGAGCAGTGGGCACTGAGTACTGCCCATGTCCTATCAAGAATGCCTGTGATAGGGTCTGACACAGGTTAGGAGCACACCAGTGTCGGTGGATGATTTTTTTTTTTACAATGAAAAGATTAAGAAAGCAGTTGGATTGTCAGGTGGTGGTGGCACACGCCTTTAATCCCAGCACTCGGGAGGCAGAGACAGGCGGATCCCTGTGAGTTCGAGGCCAGTCTGTTTACAAAGTGAGTTCTAGGACAGCCAGGGCTGTTACACAGAGAAACCTTGCCTTAAAAACAAAAACATAAACAAAAACAAAATAAAAATCAACAACAACAACAAAAAACAAAAGAGAAAGGAAGGAAGGAAGGAAGCAAGCAGTTGGAGTTAATTGAACTATGAGACACTACCCAGAAGATATGCCCAACACCTATGCAACTTTCAAGTGGGGTTGTTGAGCGGGCGGATGGTGGTGGGTGAGCCATCAGATCCAGATGTGGGCCCAGAGGTGGCTAGGGGAGGTACATGTGTGCTTCTGGCACCTTGCTCTGTGCAAGGGAATGTTTATATGTGGTGTGAAGAGGCACAAGGGACACTCACTATCACAGGATGCCTTTTGAGACTTAGAGGGTCCTCCTATACAGTGTATCTACCTGCCCTGCAAACCTTAATGCCCAGGAAATGCCTCGTTTCTAAGGAGATTCTAAGGGAGATACAACATTTGAGAGGATGGAGAATATGTGAGTGGGTAGATTTCCCCCAGTAACAGGGGTGAGTAAGGGTCTCACAGATGCCCGCCACTGTCACTTTATACAGCAGGACTGGTGGAGTTCGGAACACGACCTCCATGAACATGCTGCTCTTCCATCCTGAGGGTTGATGGAGATGAGTGGACCCTCACTCTCTGCACATTTCTTAGTGTATGCCACCAGGGGCTGTATTTCCAGTGATCACTAGGCTGCCTGCTGGCTACTGGTGCTTGGCAGCACGCCTCGGGCTAACTGTTAGGGGTCTTGGGATGGGGCGGGGTTGGAAATCATCCATTTATTAAATAAAAATCCATTTATTAAGGATTTATCCTGCAGTAGGTGCTGCATTAGGCACTGGACATGCGTCATCTCATTTAATCCTTCCAAAACTGTCGTGGGGACTGCCATTACCTTCCCATCATAGAGGAGGAAGCAGAAGCTTATGTCAGCTTCTCAAAGCTGGGAAATGGCATGTCCAGAGTATCTGCCTCTCCAGAGACACTTTCAACCTCCATTCTGTTCATCTGCACTTAAGTGCTCTCTTAGCCTTGTGGAGAGCGTGGCCTCTGCAGCATGGAATTCGCCAGCTCTCGGCCCTGGTGAGTCACAGGAAAAAGCACTTCCATCTGTGGCTGTGGTTGGACGGTGACCCATGGCCACAGCTCCCATACCTGCTCTCCCTGGGATTAGACGCTGACTCACGGCCGTGCCTTCACTACCGGCTCTTTCTGGGATTGGACATTGACCTGCAGCCATGACCCTGTAGTGGCCTGCTTACCTCTCTTGCCTTTTTCCTGTTGGGTGTTACTCCTTCAGTGCCTCAGCTTCCAGAAGACAGATGCTTCCAGACACGGGTGATGCTGTCAGAAGGGGTACTCTGCCGGTGTCTGGAGAGTGTGTATGCAGTTTCTGATTTCCTGGGGTACCTTTCCCCCCTCTTCAGTGCTGGGACTGTGTACCAGGCAAGCCCTCTCCACTGAGCTCCACACCCAGTCCCTCAGGACACATTTTGTGGGGAAGATCATTGCTTTGTGGATATTCCCAGGTGCTGTTTCTGTCAACTAAAAGGTAAAAGTCCCTGTTCCGTATGGACCCCAGCAGCTCTCCGCTGGCAAGGCGGGTGAAGACATGCTGGAGGTTGCACTCGCCCCTGCCAGAGCAGGGGCCATGGTTTATCCCTGCCGCATCAGAGCTGCAGCCGTGGGAATGCTCCATTTGAACTCCAGAGCATATTACTCTCTCAGGGCTCACGCCTTCATCTCTCTCAAAATGTCTGGATTAATGCTGTATATCAGGGAGAATGCAACCTTCCAAAGATGCAGCTGTAGCCACAGCTCTCTCAAATACAAACAATAACAACAACAACAAAGCCCAGAAGCAACAAGCCATCAACAATCAAAGCCTTTCCTACAAGAGAAAAAGGCCAGCATTCTAGCAGAGCCCAGCACAGTGTGTAGGTAGCATGGCTTCATTGGCACGCCTGGCCGCGGCCCGTCTTCTCTCAAGAAGCCCTGGTCCATGGCTTCTTCACGGTTCTCTCCTTCACCTTCACATCTCTTTACGCTTTTCGGTATAATGTCCTGAGGAATGCGTTCTGTATCTGTTTGAGAGTTCTTTTCCACCTCCGCTGTGCTGAGGCTTTTTATTTATTTATTTTTACATCTTTGCTGTTTCCTGCTTACGTTTCTAGTTCTCCTTTCTCAACACTTCTGGTCATAGCACCTCCAGTTAGCACCGTCTGTGCACACTGGTGTTTATTATTTTCTGTTCACGTCGTTAACGAAGGTGCTAAATAAGACTGGATGGAGCCTGACCAGCACCCACGATTTCTTCTGGGCACATATCTCAGTGGCCTGTCAGGAACAGTGGTCCATCCATCCGAGCTTATTCAAGCTCACACTGTTCAAACCATGAGTTCTGTTCATCAGTGGCCGGAGTCGCAGGACTTCACCGGAAGCCAGGTGAGTCCCAGTCGCTGCCGCCTGAGAGTGGGTGAACTTCACACAGTCCACATACAAATACACCAAGGACGGAGATATTACAAAGACTTGCCAAAAGAACAAAAGGATAAGACTTCACTGGGCACGGGTTAAAGGATTGAGCTTCTGAACAAGGTTGGGACTAAGAACAAAACAAGTTTGCTAGGAACTCAGGAGCCCCTGGCTGTCTCTTCTGCTGAGTTTCTCTTTTGTGAGACAAGTTCTCACTATGCGGCCCAGGCTGACTTCCACCTCTTTATCCTCTAGATTCAGACTCCCAGGCCCTGGTTGAGCATGGTCTTGACAAGCTGTTCTACACAGTGAGACGAGAACTCTGGGGTACAGGACAACAATGAAACAGCCTTTGTTCTCCAGAAGCTCACAATTTGGGGAGGGAGGCAGATGGGCAACAAATAACTCGCATGGAGGGTGTGACCCTGCCAGGGCCATGGGGGCTCTAGGAATGAATTGTGCTAAGGATCCTATGGCTTTGTAGGCAGACGCACTTCCCCGTAACTCAGGCTCCCAGCACTCTGGTGAGGGGAAGAAATCGGCACCTGTTTCTGCACCTGACTCCCTATGGGCATGGATTAAGACCAGCGAGCGAGCGAAGGAAGTAGGTGCCAAACACACCGCGCCTGGTGTGCTAGGGCTGATGGTGACTCACCCACTAGTCACTAATAACATCCCTCAAGTTCCAACTCCCTCTCCCCTGGAACTTGACTGGATCTCCTCTGCCCATAGGAGGTGGGGGGGGGATTTAGACAGTGAGCCCAGGATTCACACAGGTTTGGGAGAATGTGGTAGAGATGAGCCCAGCCAGGTTGGCAGGCAGCCGAGAGGTGAGAAGTCCATGCTGAATCGGTGGGCAGTGAGAATCCTTGAGGATGCTGAGTAGAGAAGATGAGCATGCTTATCTCATTCCGTGTGCTCACCACTGTCTGAATTCTTGGCTGGCTTATGTCTGTCACCGCTTCCATCCCCCTCCAAAGAAAGCTCTATG